AATTTGTACTAAATTTGATAATATAAATTATGTTTATTGGAATCTATTACCGGAATTTCGTTAGTTAGGAAAGTGACAAGAAAGGTCATCTTAATGTGTGTGATAATTTTGTCTTCTTCAAATATTCCCTCGAATTCAATATGTTGAAATATGAGTTTACACAAAAACAATTCCTGGGTTTTCTTTTTTTACAAAATACATTTTTATTTTGGTAAGCGTGTTTTGTGATAACGTTAAAGTGAAATGAAATGCGAAGTTGTACTACGAACCACATTTTTTTACAACGGCCATACAACGTGAGTCTTGTTACTAAATCTAAGTTCTTGTAGTTCGTTGGAACTTTCGTTTATATTCACACCAATATCGCTCCAACATTAATTGATTATTAGCTCATCTTAATGTAGTATGTTATCAAAGAGTATAATATTCATCTAACTCGATCATCATAATATATCAGTATTTTTTAAAAAGGAGGCATATGTGCCTATAGCTGCTGTAGAAAACTATAATATAAAGAGAATATTATTCTGTCATATGCCGTATAACTACCTCAGAGGAATTTTAATGTTGCCCTTTGCGGATGCTTGCCTTCACAATTTCTTAACAGGATAAAAACCTATTGTCATTCGAGAATTACTGAAAACAATTTGATTATAAACTACAAAGCCGCTACAACACGGAGCTCCTTCTTCGTGTAGACCCAGGTGCAAGTTATGACCACTGATTTTTGTCTAAACGGTATTGCTATTAATATTATGTCTAACCAGCTTCGTGTTGAAGCAGCCTGAGACCTAGACAGTTCCGCTGGACCTATTTTTCTCTAGCGGTTTGTTGTAGAAAGGAAGAGAAAGGACTGCTGCTTTCCATAAGAAATCGACGTGGTCTTTCCCCCCCGAGCATACAGAGTCGTCATCGAGCCCATTGAAGGTACGTGATCGTCGTATCAATATCGATTTTCCGAAACTTGACGTATGTGCCGATCTAAAGATCTAGACACTCCTGATCTCGCTCGGGACAAAACCCAGGCACACAACCTGACCATCACGAAAAGAAAAGAAGAAAGGAACGAAACAATGCAGAAAAGAAAGATGCGAGGATGTATACCTGGTGTTCCATCATCATCCATAGTGACAAGCGTCCATTACCCTATCCTCGATGATAGCTGGTTCAAAGAGCACTGTTTACAACTTATCCAAGACGTTGAGTCACTGTTTAAGGTTATATACTCGTCGTGTCCCGTTTCTTATCTTGGCGGTATTTTTTAATATTTTTTTTTTATTTTATTTTTGGTTTAAGTCTCGGAGCGAGGTTGAAAGCTACCACTTTTCGTCGCAAGGACGCACGTGGTTTCCAAACTCGATTTCCAACAATTCGCGGGTGGCTGTTTCCGATTCTTTTTCAAGGTGAAGCGACTGAAAAGAATGATCGCGGGCTTTGGCGAAGACGGCGTATGGGGCGTCGTGGTCATTTTCGGAGGCGGCGATGCAGAACAACACTACTTGTGTTTGTGTGTGGTCTGTGGTCGGGAGTCCGGTGACCGCGCGACGCCCGCTTCTATGCAGATGCTTTCTTTATGTCCCTTTCTGGTGCAGTTACCGCCGTTTGCATTAGAGCGAGTTTGCTGAGCAGAGACTGACAACTACGTTTTAAGAGGTAATTTCTAAACCCAGTTTGTGTGTCGTCTCGGCGCTTCGGAAACTTTTGAGTTTTTCTTTTTATCTCAAATTCGCCTCTCGAGGGTTTTATAGAGTCAAACATTGTGCTTTCACTGCGCAAGCGTACGTGAGGTGAAGATGTAGTCATTCATCGTTGACCATGAACACCTCCCGTTCTTCCAAAAACGTCGTCCGTAATTAATGTGAGTTGTCCATAATAACGATACAGACGGGCGTATATTTACCCAGTTCATCCCAGAAAATCTCCTCTATATAGCGGCGTATCCCAATTAACGATGTCGGTATTGACGAGATGTTCCTTCTAGACTTGTGCTAGTTCGTTTTAAGCAGAAATGCTTGAGACAACGTCGGAACCATCTTCAACCTTTTTCGATAGTGCCGTTGAACCACTGCGCCATTCGTAATGGCGGCAGTCATAACGAAAGCTTTACACAGCCTGCAACTTGCCCAGAGTTAAATATACAATATTATGTGTAATCAGTACGCCCACGCTCATTTCCGCTTGACTTGATTAATCCAGTCCAATCAGCAGGTCTTTGCTTGAATTTAAGCTTGAATACAAAGCCTAATTTAAAGAAGAAAAAAAAACAAAAAAACAGAGAGGGTTCTCTTAGTACCAATAAAATGGTAACGAACGCTTTCCTAAGAAGACCTTTTTGTATTTAGGGCCCTGAAATACTGCATCTTTTAGCGAAAGGAACTGCTGGACACCCTTTTCTTCCAAAGCGTTCCTCTTTGTGTTTTTCACACAAGCCGTTATGCATAACTCGTGCTTTTGAATATGTACGATAGAGTTGGATCTTGCATTTAATATTAAGTCCGGAATTTTTACAAATCTTTATTATAAGCATCATTCTAGGATACAGCTAACCTGAGGCACACACAAGACGTTCCGCCATAAAACGAGTATAGGCGCGATTTATTTGTCCCCAATAATTATCTTCCCTTAAATTACATTTTTTCACTTATAAGAGGTTTTTAACCGACCTTAGCGTTTATTTATTTTTCTTCGCGCGCTTTCAATTAAATTAACATAACTATACCCATTCAGAAAGCTCGAACATAAAACTTCTTTAGATTATTTCATAGTACACTGCTGATTTGTACTCTTTCTGCAGCGTTCGAGCGATTGCGATTTTTTTTTCTTTTTGCGTGCACGTATATTGCCGCGTGCATGACCGAGAAGAAACCCTTCTCCGTGCATCTATAAGTTTCGTGTTTATTCTTACCCGGACTGTAAGAGATAATGAGGCGAGATTGACTAGGCAAGGTGATTCCGGCCTCTTACACTCGGGGTAAGAATAAAAACGAAACTTCTAAATGCACGGTGAAGTGTTTCCTCTTGGTCATGCACGCGGCAATACAAGTTCAAGCGCGTAGAAATAGTCAATTGAACGAGTTAGGCTCAGACGCCCATACTGTGATTTGGAGTAAAAGGCGCTATACCCGTCAAGCGAGGCTACAAACAAACGATACAGCACTCCCGCGGTGTATTTGGAGATTCTTGTAAAGAAAAGTCTTATCTAGGTGTAAAACAGTTCAATCCCATAGTTAGTTAGAGCTGTCTCCACAGCTTGGTCTACAGAACGTTTTGTTTTGTGGGGTGTACAGATTCACATATGAGATGCAGTAATCGCAGCATTCCACATTTTTTTTTTTTTCAAAATTGCGCGTATCAGTGGTTTTTTACTTTCGGGATAACCTAAAAGTTAGCATATTAAAGCTGAACACCCTGCGAGTTCGCCAAGGCTCTGCAATTGCGAGAGTTGTCGAGTCCAGGACGCAAGTCAACGCCAAAAGACAGATCTCAATGCCAGAAGGTTTTATGAAATCGGTGTTAGTCCAATCTGGTGTTCCTTCGTCCAAACTGCATGACCAAGGTTCGAAGGTTCGACAGTATGGCCTGGTCCAATTCCACAGATGCAGCGATCCAGCGCACTAAACCTTGTTCACTACTTTTTCTTAAGTGATGACCCAAACTAGCAAGAGAAACCGCACTCTAAAGGTGGTTACACACGTTCATTGGATACAAGAATTGATCAAATAAACTCAATAATTTATGTTATTCACCTTATTCAGTACTTATAGTTGTTTTTTTTTCAATACGCGTTTTTACTATAAAATCTTCTGGCAATCATCCTCTTGTAACGAATGAGACTTTGCTTAACTACTGTCAAAATATCAAGCCCCTCTCTTTTTCTTGTTTTCTCGTTGATTCGAGTGATTACAGGAATGTGTCTGACCTCCTCTGAGGTATATCAGGCCCTCTCAACTGGGAGGGAGCTTGCTATTGGTGCGGTAGGTTACCAACACGAACACTAACGGAAGTAATGATGTCCAAGAAAACCGCTGGAAAGAACGTCTGGCATTGTCTTGCTGAGGGGAAGTGTTCAGCATGCGAACGAACCAGAAGCTGAATCGAGGACGAGTCAGAATTTCATCTCACGTACACCGGAAGGGTCTGTCAGTTGACTGAAAAAAAATGACCGCACGTGAGAATGCCATATACTGAAGCGGGTTATAAACGTAACACGAACATTTTAGATATTACTGACAGCTCAAACAGTATAGGCGTAGGAAACATCTAGGAACAGAGCGGTGTTTTGGCTGATATATTGTAAAAGAGTTCAACGCGTTTCGTGGATGTTCTGGATTCGAAACGTTTGCTTCCCACGGGAGATGTAGAGAGTTTTTCTCTTTGTGTTTGCTTAGACGCTAAAAAGTCTAATAGCAGCAAAACCTCTGGTAAGGTGTTAACAGTATCTAGAATTTTACACTAAGTACTTTGATCTTGGTGCCGCGACTACTTTTATAAAAAAAATGCAATGATTCCGGTTGTGAAATTAAGGAGTATGACGTGAATTAAACAATCATGCAACTTCTTGTCCTATTGTGACTACCCCAAGGCTGAAGACTTCGTAAGAAGAGCATTGCTTTTAAACGTTTTGAGCAGCTCTATAAAAATCAGTTACACCCGAGCAAGCGGCAAGGTTATTCAAGGATATTCATTTGAACGCGTTCTTTCTGATCCTATCGGGATTGTAAATTGTTTGTCTCGATGTATCTTGGACGAAGTAAATCAGAGCGTTCGTTGAACTATCTTCCTACAACATCTTGAGGGCCGTTGCCTTCAACAAACAACGACCTCTCTGTGGTAGATCTCGGGCTCTGTCCAAGGACAAGCTCATTCCACATGTCGGGTTGCATACACAATATCATTGAGCCGCCCTGTGTCGGGTTCTGCGTCGTTGCGCCGCTATGCAAATCAAAGGAAGTACAGCGGAAAGGTATGAGGGGGGGTCTTGCCGGCCGATCACTCACCACCATCTAGAGCCTCGGCCCCTGCCAGGTTTGCGTTTGGCCACATTGTCGGAACCCAGGGCCTGAGACTCGAGGCAGCAGCAGGAGCACCACACCATCAACGACACCACCACGGGGACCGACCAGGGCCCACATCGTCGACGCACCACAGCAGTCCAGGAGGCCGAACCCATGGTTTCCCCTCGGAGGCCGCTCCGATGATCAGCGCCTCCGCGGAACCCCGGCTCGGACCCGGATCATCATCATCATCATCGTCATCGTTCTTCGGCGGGGGGAGCGGTTCAGGAAGATGCTGCGCCTCATGTCGTCTGCTCGCGTTGTTCCTGCTGTCCTGGACCCTTCGGGAACCTTTGCCGCCGACTCTGACCGACCCTTCGCGCAGCATCCGCGCGATGGCTTCCTTCTTACTCTCTGCTCTCCCTCCCGCACTCTCGCCCTCCCACCCGTCCCTCTCTGCTCGCTTGTCGTCGTTTTCCGATCGTGGTGTAGGACGACGACGCGGTACCAGAAAGATTCATCGATCCCCTTCCACTTGCCTGCCGTCTTGTCTCGTGGACCAATGGGAAGAGAGGCGCACCTCGGCTGCGTGCCTATGGGTGGCCCGTCGCAGACCCCCCAGAATGCCTGCCCCCTCCCGCCTTCTCTCCAATGAGAGCTCGCGACGCTTTTTTGCTAGCCGGCTTCGAACAAACGGACAAAGCAAAACGTCAACAAAAGGAGGCGAGAGACGTGACGATGCGCTTAACCTCTCCTCGTACCGTTACCTCCCTTGCCTGCATCGCGCACACGCACTCACACGCACACACACACAGCTCCAGGGTTGCCCACCGCCGTGATTCGACCGGATCATGATACTATAAAGAGAAAGCTCAATTATGGGAATTCTCCTCCCCCTACTTTAGTTTTACTTGTTCCCCGTCACTTTTTTTTTGTTTTTTAAGCACTCGAAGCCAGCGCGCTGGTAGGTTTGTTTGTAGGTGCGTGTGAATGCAAAAGACAAACATGCAGCGGACAAAAAAGCGTCTCCGCGTGGTCCCACAGACAGTCGAGCCGCATGTGCGTCTTATGGCTACACCGAGACACCGGGAGGTTATTGCTTAAAAACCTGACGTTTCTATAAAAAACAAAACAAAAATAAGGCGGCTTTTTTTAGTTGGGAGGGCCTGCCCACCTCGCCTTGATATCGGCATGCGCGTCAAAAAGAAATAAACAAAATGAAAGCAGCGATGCTCACTCAGAGAGAGTGCGAAGACGGAATCTAGATAAAAGTTTGTAAGAAGGGAATTCGCGAACGACAAGTCGAGAAGTTGTTCGCGTTTCGCTGTCTACGCTTCTTTTACTCGTGAGCGATTCTCTGCGTTTCCCTCCTCGCCCCTCTTCGATGCTGAATATCTTGGTTATGCGCGTTCGCTGCCGATGGCCGCCCGTGCGCGCGTCAATGTGCGTGCCGGCGCGATTGCGTGCGAGAGTTTCCCAGCGAGCGAGGGGGAGGCAACGTGTGTAGTTTCCGGTTTTTGGAGGCGCCCCAGCCGCCACCATGCACGGCGAAGAGGAAACCATTGTCCGCTACGTGTTTCTGGCGGGGCGCTGTCTGTTTACTCGGGGTCATTAGCTAAAACGTTGGCGGAACGTGTCTCGTTGAGCATTAAATTATGTTCAGGCTGGGGAATAAAAAAAAATCTCTTAATGAGCGCTCGCCAACAAAACTGGTGCCACTCAGGGACCGTGACGTCATCGAGAGTGGAAACGAGAGCACTCAAACTAATTGGTTGGGACGGGGTTATCCGTGACGTCGATAAATTTCTGGGGTTAAAGAAAGTGCATAGGATCAGAGGGTGTGGTCACACCCTCAAATCGCTACGTTGTCGGCGACTGGCTGGTTTAGTGTCCTTCTAGAACAACAAGGCGCGGCTACGTATGTCCGTTGCCTCGCAGTTGGTTACGATTGGTTGTTGTCGAGTGATCATGTGACCGGATAGACTTCATACCGCTAATTAGATGATTAAAATTGGTTATTCGTATTCGCATTTTATCTGTAAGACGCCGAGAAAAGCAGCGACCAGATGCCGACTTGACCATTTTTCTGATAACTGCATTTTTCAACAGTTAGGAACGACGGAGAAGTGAGCGTTCTCGTGTTGATGCCTAAGTTAAAGGGGCCATGAAACGAATTTTGGGTTGAGATGAATAATTTTAAATTGGGACTTTACTAATCGCATAGCGTTTAGTTGGCCAAAAGAAAGAGTGTAGAAAGTCAAAAGCCAGCTTTTCAGTACGAACATTTCAAAATATAGCGGACTATTTTGTACCTTCTTGCCTTCGAAAGCTCTCCGCCTTTTCACTGTGATACATCCGCGGTTCCCAAAGCGCGTCACCGGCGCCCAACTGACGTCAGCCGAGCCCAGCTCACGTATTGGACACGAGAACTGCGTCACTCGGACGTATGCGCTCGTCAACAATCAATCCGTCGACGAATATTCGGATTCGCGTTCGTGGCCAATGAGTGCCCTGATGGAACATATCGTCACTGGCGAATGACAAGTTCTATGGTGTGCATAAAAAGTACGGTGGAAGCTAGGAGTTATCGCACCGGTGCCGAAGAATGTCACGACGACGTAGTTTCACAATTTGCATTTAAGTTGAGGATTAAAGCTGAAGAGGAAGAAGTAGGAAAATCGTTTCATGACCCCTTTAACCTGACTTTACATCACATACTAATTAATAACATTCAATAACGTAACACAACACAACATAACTCAACTGGGATAAACTAACCCAGCCTAATGCAACCGACCCTAAATAAATCTACTCTACCCTACCTTGCTCTGCAACCTCGCTGTATACACATACTGAGAAAGAAATAACTCCTCTTGGCTTTATTTCTGAGTTTAGCGAGGAACACGAGCTCGAATTCATCACTCCGGAAGGTCGTGCTCATCACTGATGTGTTTTGTGAGTTAAGGACCCAGTGGTTAGCAGTCATACGCCACTGACAAATGGTTGATCTATGGAGGAGACATCTGATGCCATCGCGGATTTTCCGAGTTTTTAAATAAAAACAAGACCTCTGCATATCGTTTAAGCGGGCCGCGAATGGTCACAAGCGAAGGCCGTTAATAGCGAAAGGGCATAATCGGATTTTACATTTGTTGAGAAAAGGTTAACCCGCCCCGTCACAAGTGCACCCGCGAATTGGCTGTCAATTTCATTGTGTCAACAACGGCGATTAAAACTAAACTCCATAGAGCAAAAAAAAAAAAAAAGCGATAAATTTTGTTAAGTGGCGTTCACTAACCCTTACTTGGACAAAATGATGCGAAATCTGTCCAGTTTGGGCCTAAGTGGTGAAGTAAAATTAAACACAAAAGGCTCGAGTGCGACGCGAATCCATACGGAGGCGATCAGTCGGGAACGTGGAAAACTCCACGAACTCTGAGAACCATCGAGTGAATTTTATTCGCGTAATCGTTCTATACTGCAGGCCGTATACGTTGAAGGAGTGGAGTTTAGCCGCTATATTGTTGTATGGCATAGCAACCAAATTGAGCCTAACCACACAGTGAGTCAACACACTTTAATAAAGGCTGTTATTATTTTTTTTCAAGTATCTAAATCTAGTCGACACAGGCTCTTGTGAAGAGAGGGGCTGCGCATAAAACAATCTTTTTGCTTTTTACAACGCTCTTGGCATCGGTATGGTTCTTGGAGCTTCGTGACTGTGCATTTCTGACGTGTTCGCACTAGATTATCTGCGAACTTTTCTAAAAAAAAAAACGGAGTCTTGCAAAAAGCGCAGCCCCCCTACTTTGCCATGACGTCACCATAAACAAACAAGGCGTCGCCCATGGAACGGAGCGGACGCTGGTCTATAGCCTACTCTATCGGCGGTATGCGCCATCAAAAGCGTAGCTGTGGTCGGCCTTCCATAATTGACCGAATGGTGACTATGACATCAGCAAAGCTTTTCTCAACGACAGAAATAAGTCAGAAGTTCAATTTTGGCGGTGTTGGCAGTGTTGATTTCAAAACGGATTTCAAGCTTCCACCATCCTCATTACAAACACCATCGAACTTATCGTTCGCAAGGTAGCAAGCTAATGGCGTCACGAGAGGCAACCATATGAGGGCGCCACCGAAACATCTCGCCGCTAATCGTAGATGACAGATTAATAGTAACCTCTTTCCATTTTAGCAGACAGAACGCTGGAGAGGAGGCGACCTCCTCGCTTTGCGTTCGCTTTTCTAAACTGCAAAAAGGTGGGAGGACCTCCCACTTCTCTCTTGTCACCGGCTATAGTGATCGCATCATCAATTGATTTTTGTCTTTTACGTGGTTCTCATCAGTCAGCTCTCAAATCACACTGACTCATCGACAGCCTAAGCCATTTTCAGCAAACACGAAGGGAAAGTATAGGGAGTATTCACCGGCGCCCATAGCTCTGTGCGCGAGTGTTGAGCGCATGATGGCGGCGAGCTTCCGCCGTTCTTGTGCAACGTATACATCAGGATGGCCGGTCATAGCAGCCTATTAATGTGAGCTCGTTCTAAGTATGCGCTCGAAGCATCGCCCTCCAATGTGGCGTCCACAGCTACAGACTTCGAGTGTCATATTCCGGAATATAGGCACGTGATTCAGTTTATCGGTGGTTTCTTACGGGCCACGTGGCGATTGTCTCGTACATAGAGCCACTAATTGACTTATCGCTCTGACACTCTTTTCCTCGATTGTCTTGTGGGCGCCACCGTTTTGGTGCTCAATGGAAAGCGACCGCCATCGGTGATCGACCCGATTAGAAAATGTGGCTTTCTGAGCTTTAGACACGCCAGCAGAAAGCTCAGAGGATATCATTTTGCTTTGTCGCAGACTGTTTCAACATTTCTAAAGGGCAAAAAAAAAAAAAAGAACACACTTTCTGCGATTTTAGAAGAAGAAAAAGAAAACGTTCAATAACTGGCAATCATTATATTAAGCACCAGCTGACAGAAGCTACCGCTTGTTATAAAGGGTACAGCCATCATCATCCATCCATTTATCCGCCGGGTGGCTGAAAGTGTTGATCATCTGAAGCGTAGCCAATTTACTGGCCCTCGCACACGCCGGTCACAGAGCGAAAGGTAACCCGCACTCGCCTATTAAAGCGTTTCTCTGTCGAGAGTCCATGTTTCACAAAGGCAAAGCCGCAATCTTATGTTGTATCCTTTGCTGCCCTGAAAGTTTAAAACAAAGTACAGAAAACCACTTTTCTTTTTGGCTTGTTGTTTAAGTTGGCTTTGCCACTATGCACTCCTGCATAAGGAGCAGCACCTTGTTAGGGTGCACCGCCCTAACTCGGTGCTGCTCCTTACTCACTAGTTCATGGCAGCGAAGCCATCTTAAACACCAATAAAAAGGAAATGTATGGTATTTTCTTAGAAACAACAACAACAACATTGTGCTTGGTTTGTCTCTGAAAAGCATAACTTTCTCTAGTATGTTTTTAATTTAATTGAATTCACTGTTTCTTCACAGGCTCACGATTATGCGCGCACTTGCCCGCTATATTTTCGGGTTCCAGTTT